GTCGAGCTATAACGCCCATGACCACACGTCCAGAGTCCTATAAGTTAAACAGAAGCTCCAATATCAAGCCATTCATGGGAAGGGCAGTGGAATCAGAGGTGAAGGGTCCAAGGTGGCTCTGTTACTGAGAACTTGCCCTTTCCAAAATGTGAAAGTCATAGTGCTTCTTGCTTGTTCTCAGCTTAAACTTGTTAACTGAATTAATTGTTCTTCAGTGCATTCTGTGCAGCTGAAATGGAGGGGGAACGCTGCTGCAGACAGGTATGTGGAGGCAAGTCACTGGTTTGGAGCGTCAGGGTTGACAGTGTTGTCCCACTGCCACAGCAGAGGGGGTGACGTCGCAGCTGGGCTGGGACTGGGGGTCCCGGAGCCACGCGATCTTGGCGGCCAATTTTAAAGAGTTCCCCAAAAAGCTTCTCGGCTTCCATGCGAGTTATTCCATCTGTAGTTCAGTTATTTCCAAGACCTTCCCAACAACTAGAATGAAAAAGTATAGAATTAATATATCCCTGTTACCAAAAAAACTGGCCTGGGTAAAAAAGTACTGCAAATACCAAATAAGACATAAGAAACAGATTTTTTGAAACCACTCAAATCTACAAAATCTTAATTGTTAGAGCCATCTTTCAAATCCTTCCTACCCCGTGCCCTCCACTTAGGCAAGGAGTATAGACCATATATATATATATATATATTTTTTTTTTTGGAAGGCACCTTGGCAATAGAGAGCTCATATTGTTAAGCCACTAACTTTAGTCTTTGCTGAGAGTTGCACATAAAAAATGCAGCACTGTGCAGTGGCTTCTCTAAATTAGGAGTGTGATCTTAGGCAAACACTTTCTGAACTGAATAACAGCACTTGCTCTAACCACGCTCAGGCTACTGAGTAGAAGAACCCTAAAGTAGAGATGACAAAATTTCCTATTCCTTCATGAAAACCCATTTCTGTGCGGTGGTTTATTTTTAAAGACTGTCACCAGTTTGTAGATCCACATCCAGCTGCCCCTCAGGGACACACCTGCTTCTCCTGCTCCAAGGTCCGTGGATGCAGCTTTTTTAGCTTGTCTTCTTCCTCGGTTTCCATGTCTGCTGCCAGGCTGACTCTGAACACCCACAAATAGTTCAGAAATAAGGTTAATAGTGCTGAAAAATGTGTCTGTAACGTTTAAAAATTTAACATATATACACACTTAATCTGGATTCTGCACTTTGGCAGAAATGAACCAGTCCCGGGGCCTTCTGAATTTTGCCTCTGCAGCAGGGGCACTCTGCCCCTGACGATGACCAATTACTCACTGACGATCCTTCATTTGCAAGGGTGCCCCAAATCCCAGACACCACCCATCTTTGGGTGGCACTAGTGAATTACTGCTCCGCCAAGCAGAGCACTACCTTATTCTCTTGGACTGTTGCCAATGGAGCTAGTGATGAACTGAATAAGCCAGCTGGCTGAGGCATAGAGCTCACCTTGGGTAGCACCAACAGAGGGCTCAGAGGTGCCCCCTACACTGTCAGCAGCAGAAGTATGATGTTCTGCAACAAAGCCTAGGAGGTCAGACAGTGGCCTTTCATACCTGTTGGTTTGGAATGTGTCCGTGCAGAACAGCAGGAGAGTTGTACTGCAGTGGTTGCCCAAGTAATGGATACCTGGCATCTCCTGAAATAAAAAACATTTTTACATCTTTCTCTCCTCAGTTAAAAAGTACTTGCCAGAGTTTTCTAAATTGTTCAAAATAATTAAGATGAACAGGGGAAACACGTTTGGCAGAATGAAACAAGTATATAGGTAACTGACATATTTTAAAAAACAATTAAAATTTCACATATTCTTTAAAGCGCTGGGGTAAACTTCTGAAAAGATTAATGACTGATAACAGTGGTTATGAAGGAGGGTGAGTGGTAGGAACTAGGTGGACAGGGGTTAGGATGGAGAGAAACTTCTCTGTATACTTTAAAACTATTTGTTAATTTTTGAACCATGTCAATATATTATCTATTAAAAAAAGTAAATTTTAAAAAGTGGATGAAAATGAAATGTTAAAAAAATTGAAGATATGAAAGAGAAAGAATCTAAGAAAACTATGCCACCAAATCCTAACATTCTATATGAAATCCACCAAAAAACTGTAACACTCATTCTAACTACTTCTGATGCTAAAATCTACATCTTTCTATGATGATTATTAATAAAAACTTATATTTCAGAGGAAGAATGAAACTCTGGATAAGCATTAAGCTCTATATTTTCCTAATTCACTATTAGTTGCTATAAACATATGCATGCAATATAAATGCATGTATACATTTAATATACTCATATACATTTTCATAGTTTTAACCAATAGGTATATATGTATGTTCTAGGTCCCAAGTCTGCTCTTAATCTCTCTTTAAATGACAATCTGTATTTATAATTTGAATTAGCTTAGAAAGAGTGATACAGCTTCTAAGTGTCATTCATGAGTAAGTATGCCCTTCCTAAATCAATAAGTGTAGGGTAGTCGGAATAAAGATCTTGCAATTGTTTTCTTTCACTTAGTAGAGCCTGAAGTCATCACAGAGTAGGGGCTTAATAAATGCTGACTGCAAAAATGTTATCTCAGAGAATAAGGTTTTCAGTTGTGTTACATTCTCATTTTATTTTAACCATTAAGTCCCCAGATTTAGCACATTCTGTGTTTGGAGTAGGATTATCAGTAGGTAGACTAGTAGAAGACTAGGGCATCTTCAGGAAATCTTATACCCCTTCTCCCAAGAGCTTCATAACAGAGAAAAGGAAGGCACAGACTTCCTGCCATTCCATAAGACTCCTTTCTGATGATCACTGTGAAGATGCTGGGGCAGCTCCCTGGCAAGACACATCCATGACATACTCACAACTTCCTAAGTTGAAGGGCAGATATGACATGGAGACTTAGTACTGAAATCCAGGATGCAATGTGAAGTGTGAAGATGCATAAAAAAAGCAGTCAGAGTTAAGTGTAAAAATAATGAAATGTAAAGAAAATAATTAAGGCTCAAAAACTTAGATGAGCAGAATACAGAGAATGCTGCTTAAAAATCCTGGAAACTTAAGACTTAGTCATATGTAGTGTTATTTTTTAAAATATGGAGACAAGACTATAGTCAGCAGTAACCAAAGACCCCTCCTTACAGGCCAGGCTAGGCGTTCCTCTTGAGGCATTCATCTCAGACTGCATCCACATACTGTTTCAATTTATTTTTTATAATATGCTTTATTTTTCTAGATTATTAAGGTTATTATTGGGTTTGTAGAAAATTTGAAAATAGAGAATTACAAAGGAGAAAATAAAAAATACCATGGTAATTCCATCATTTCTAACATTTTGGTACATATCTTTGTTCTATATATGTGTGTGCTCATACTTGTGTATTTTATAACTCTTTAAAAAAACTGAGATATAGTTAACATACAATATAAAAACCATCTCCATCCTTAGAAGATTTCCCTTCAGCCCTTTTGCGGTCAGTTCCACAAGTCATTATGAGTTCCCCACCACTGTCTGATTTCTAACTTTGTCTATGGCTGGATTTTGTATAATTAGAGCTATATAGCATATGTTATTTGTTTTTTTATCCGCTATGTTTTTTGCTTAACATAATGACTCTGAGATTTATCCATGCTGTTGTGTGTTAGTAGTTTGCTTTGCTCATGTTTATCGTTGAGTAGTATTCCATCGCAATGACATATCACAATTTCTTAACTTAGTGTCCTGCTGATTGACATGTGGGCCATGTCCAGCTTGGGTTATTATTCTTTTTTCTTTTGAGACAGGGTCTTGCTCTGTTGCCCTGGCTGGAGAGCAGTGATGTTATCATAGCTCACTGCAACCTCAAACTCCTAGGCTCAAGTGATGCTCCTGCCTCAGCCTCCTGAGTAGCTGTGAGTACAGGTACATGCCACCATGTCCAGCTAATTTTTCTATTTTTTGTAGAGACGAGGTCTTGCTGTGTTGCTCAAGCTGGTCTCAAACTCCTGGCCTCAAGAGATCCTTCTGCCCCGGCTTCCCAAAGTGTTGGGGTTACAGGTGTGAGCCACTGTGCCTGGCCAGTTTGGACTATTACGACAGAAAGTTGTTTTAAGTGTTCTTGTATAAGTATGAACATGTTTTCATTTCTCCTTCCAACACAGGTATAGAATAGCTAGGTTGTATGGTAAGTGATTAACTTGGTAAGAAACTGCCAAACCTTTTCCCAAAATGGTTTTATCATTTACATGCCCACCAACAATGTGTGAAAATTTTAGTTTCTCTCCATCTTTACCAACATTCAGTGTTGTCAGTCTTTATCATTATAGCCATTCTAGTGGTGCTAAGTGGTATCTCATTCTGACTTTAATATTCACTTCCCTAATGATTAATAATGTTGAGTACCTTTTTCAAGGGCTTATTGGACATCTGTATATCTTCTTTTTTGAAATGTCTGTGTAACTTGTTTTTCGAAATCACTCATCACATTGTGAATATTTACACTTTTAATGATTGTTTAAAACATGATTTTTAGATAGCTACACAGTATTTCTTGTATAGATATACCATAATTTAACTATTCCTCACTGATGAATATTTAGGCTGTTTTTGAATTTTTTTTGCTATAGGATAAACTATCCTGTGCATTAACCTTTGTGTGCATCATCCTTAGGATAAATTGCAGAAATAAGATGAAAAGTTTCCATATTAGTTTATAATCATCTGCCTGTGGCCTGTTCCTCTGAGTATACTGAGAGCTGGTTCCTCTGAGTATACTGAGCTGGTGATCATCTTTGTATACCAGGGGCACAGTAGGTCCTCAATAAATGTTTCTGAATAAACTTTATATTTGATACATATTATTCTAATATAGGAATTAAAAATAAAGAACAAATATAGAACACTGTATTACTACTATGGAGGAAAGGATCCTAAGAATAAGTTAAAACCATTCTATCATGTAATTACTGAGTATAAGTAATTACTGAAATAATACTTAATTAGCAATGAAACATTAAGGTTAGGAAAGTATATGGTAACAAATAGATATGCCTGAGTGGAGGGGAAAATGCAGCTCTGTGGAAAATTAAAAGGCAGTATTATTATCCACACACACACACACACACACACACACACACACACACACACACATATATTTTTTTGAGACAGAGTCTCACTCTGTTGCCCAGGCTAGAGTACTGTGGCATTAGCCTAGTTCACAGCAACCTCAAATTCCTGTGCTCAAACAATCCTTCAGCCTCAGCCTCCCAAGTAGCTGGGACTACAGGCACACAACACCATGCCCGGCTAATTTTCTTTCTATTTTTAGTAGAGATGGAGTCTCGCTCTTGCTCAGGCTGGTCTCAAACTGACCTCAAACGATCCTGCTGCGTTGGCCTCCCAGAGTGCTAGGATTAAAGGCGTGAGAACTGTGCCCACCCGAAAGGTAGTGTTATTAATACTAAGGTAAATTACCAAGTGATTGGGAATGGATATCTTAAATTCTCTGGAGCTGTGACTAGTTTCATGCACACTTACCTTGCCCAGGGACATGTTGCATGTTGGATGAGAAAAAATAAGGCACTAATGGATCGTGAGGAGAGGATCAAGGAACCAGACACTTGTGACCGAGCACACATGTGGATACAGTCATGGTGAAGAGCCCACTTGATCTTCAGGCCCAGCCCAGCCCAGCCAGCCAGCAAAGGCAGCCGATATCAGGTCAGGAAGAGCCAGCCTCCTTTCGAGCCCTGCTCAAATTCTGCTTTAAACCATTTAAATTTGGGTGCGTGTTAATGCAAGGAAGAGATAACTGAAACATACAGTCATCCCTTGGTCATTGGCGGATTGTTCAGGACACCAGCAGATACAAAATCCATGATGCCAAGTCCTTATACACAATGGTATATATAGTATTCGCATATACCTAAAACACATCTGTGATACTTTTTTTTTTTTTTTTTTTTTTTTTTGAGACAGATCTCGGCTTTGGTTGCCTAAGGCCTAGAGTGAGTGCCATGGCGTCAGCCTAGCTCACAGCAACCTCAAATCCTGGGCTCAAGCGATCCTCCCCTCCAGCCTCCGAGTAGCTCGGGACTACAGGCATGAGGCCACCGATGCCCGGCTAATTTTTAATATATATTAGTTGGCCAATTAGTTTCTTTCTATTTATAGTAGAGACGGGGTCTCGGCTCTTCTCAGACTGTTTCGACTCCCCCCCGACCTCGAGCAATCCACCCGCCTCAGCCTCCCGAGAGAGCGATTACAGGCGTGAGCCACCGCGCCCGGCCCTCTTGTATACTTTATACCATCTTACGGATACTTATAATACTTATACAATGTAAATGCCATATTTACAACCATAAATAGTTGCTGTACTGTATATTGTTTAGCGACAATGAAAAAAACTTAACCCCGTTCGGTACAGATGCAATTAAAAAATACTTCGGATCATGGATTGTTGAATCCATCGGATGTGCGAATCATGAGGGCTGACGGTACTTCAGAAAATGGAAAAAAAAAAATTCTAATGATCCTGTTGCAGGCAGTGGGCTGGGATTGCGAGATCTGGTCTCTGCAGCAAGTTTTTATATTTTTTTAGAGACAGGGTCATGCTATATTGTGGGAGACTCAGAGTGCAGGCACAAACCATAGCCTCACTGCACTTTGCATCCTGGGGCTCAAGATCTCTGTGCCGTCAGCCTCCCAAGTAAGCTGGGACTATAGGTTGTTACACCGACGCTCCAGCAATTTTAATTTTTTGTCGAAAAAGGGCTGCGTTTGTTGCTCACGGATTGGCTCGAACTCTGGGCTCAATGATCTCCCTCCTTAGCCTCCTACAGTGTTGGGATGACAGGCTGAGACCAGGCAGCCTCGGCCTCTGCTGGAAAGCTTCATATTCATTTTTTGGGCTGAGACACGTGTGAGAATCCAACTCAGCTGTTCTGGGAGGTAGCTACAGATTGCTGCTTTGACCCTCCAAGCCACTCAGGGAATGTGGACACTCAAAATCAGCAGACCT